GGAATAGCTAGCGAGGAGCATCCAACACTTCGCAAAAGATCGCCCCTTGTACTCGTAGCGCACGCGTCAGGCGCATTCGTGCCAAACAGAGGTGATATTCGTATTCAGCGCGTCAAAATGCCCCTTTCCACAACTTTTGGTCCAAATCTGAAATTTGTACCTAACTTTGCAAATGGTGCAGACATCAATTAGGATGGTAAGCGAGTCTGCGCTTCAATTGCAAAAATGGTTCGCGAATTTTGGATGAATGTGGACAAGGTCGTGGAACATCGAGCGCAGGTGATTTTGAATCTGAGGTAATCGGTATTTGTCCTGTATGCTGATAACTATTTTCAGGAAATTCTGGAAGCCAAGAAACGAAAAGCGCTCGATGCTCACATGGCCTTTATCGTTGGTGAGGCTGATAAGCTGAGCTCGATAGTGCAAGAAGGTTTGACGCAGGATAGGGCTTCTAAAACACCTTCGGTCAACTCACGTGATGAGGAAAATGGTATAAATATTAAATAATTAGTTCTGTAATTGATAAGTTCTATTTAACAAATTTCCTTAAGACGATGATTTTTGTGCAAGTGAATCTGAGTCGGATGATGAAGTAACCATTGAGCGTGAGGAGGCGGCAATGCAAGAGCAGGAAATCGAAGATGTGAAACAAGAAGTATCAGCTCTAAGCAAGGATGCCGATCAAGACATGGATGACTTTTTGGCTTCGGTAGGATTTCATGAAAGATTGTTTTCTGTCGTACTCTGCTAATTCGGTAGTTCTATTTTTTGTAGTGCACATGTGGGAAAATAGTTCAAAAGCGTACCTGTTCACCGCTACATTTTGAACTGCCATCGTTGACTGTATCTAAAGTTATAGTGGCCTGGACATGTCCATGGTCATAATTTTTTTCATTCCAGCTGCCACCGGAGTACTTGGCTTCGCTTGGCTTACAATTACCATCAAATTCTGCGGGTTCTACTGAATCTCCGGCAGACTCTGAAGGGGAGGATGACAGCAGGAAGTCGAAGCAAAAGGAACGTTCAAAAGCAGATAAGGTAGAGGATTAATTGCAAATTTTTGCTGCTTAATCTTTAATGATGGTTAAATTTCATGGTAAGATTCGAAGCGAGAATGACGACGGGATCGAAGAAGTTGCTGCGAAACGTCCGAAACTTGAAGAGGCATCAGATGAGGATAGCACAACTGACAAAAATATCGCTCAAACATCTGCACCGGTCGAAGAGGCGCCAAAAACAGCTGAAGAAGACGAAGTGAGTGCCGACGAAGAGGATCCTGACCGACTGCAGGACCAAGATGCTAGTTTGGTTAGTTTCCTTTGGTCTGTTTTCTTTTTTAAGATCTCACCTGGTTTTAGTTAGAAATTCTTTGTTCTCTGTTCGTTCTGGCTAAATTTGCTTGATAAAATGTATTCAGGAAGGTAATGGAGATGGTCGTGGTATGCTCGAAAGTGTTGACTACTCGAAACTGAATAGTGTGAATAGCGATGAGCGTCAACAAGAACTAGCCAATATCGCGGAAGCAGCGCTGAAGTTCCAACCGAAAGGTTACACTTTGGAAACAACCCAGGTGGGGTTGAGTTGCAAAAACCTTTTTAAAAGACGCTAGTACTTTTCGTGTGTAATCTGTTCTAATATATAGGTCAAAACTGCGGTGCCTTTTCTGATCAGGGGAACGTTACGTGAGTATCAGATGGTGGGATTGGATTGGCTGGTCACGTTGTATGAGAAGAATCTGAACGGAATTCTTGCTGACGAAATGGGTACGTGGTATTTTTAGTGCTTTTAATTTACGGAATAGTTTTCGAGTTACATTGCTGTGTTGATGTTCAGGTTTGGGAAAAACGATCCAAACAATAGCCCTGCTGGCTCACCTCGCCTGCTGCGAATCCATCTGGGGACCGCATCTGATAATTGTGCCGACGTCAGTCATCCTTAACTGGGAAATGGAACTGAAAAAGTGGTGTCCTGCGTTCAAAATCTTAACGTACTTTGGTACACAGAGGGATCGTGCGGAGAAGCGGCGGGTACGTTATCATTTCTTTAATCATTGAAAATGTTCTTAATCATCTGCCAATGGCGGCCTTGTTTTTTTTTCATTCCATAGCGCATTACTTACTGAAATAAATGGGTTGGATTCGGATTAATGGATTTTATTTTACACCTTCTTCCAGGGTTGGTCTAAACCGAATGCGTTCCATGTATGTATTACATCTTATAAAACCGTCACAACTGATATTCGTGCCTTCAAAATGAAGGTCAGTTTCCACAACCGTATACATCAATGCTAAAAAAAATGCTAGTTCATCTTATTCAGGCTTGGCAATATCTCATACTTGATGAAGCGCAGAACATAAAGAATTTCAAAAGTCAACGATGGCAAGCACTCCTCAACGTGAGAGCGAGAAGACGCCTTCTCCTTACTGGTATGTAAAGTTTTCTTGTCTGTTCCGTTTGACGTCGCCATGACCAGATATTTTGAGGTACTCCTCTTCAAAATTCTCTGATGGAGCTTTGGTCGTTGATGCATTTCCTGATGCCAGCGATTTTCGCCAGTCATGACGATTTCAAGGACTGGTTCAGTAATCCTCTCACCGGAATGATGGATGGAAGTGTTGAGTTCAACGCTCCTCTAGTACAACAATTGCACAAGGTGCGCTTGACCATTGATCGTTAATCGTCACTATTTCGTATTTCCGCCTACCATTGTTTTGTCCATTTTCCTTCTTACATTCGTAATGTCTAGGTGTTACGCCCTTTCATTCTGAGAAGGCTCAAGAGCGAAGTGGAGAAGCAACTTCCGAAAAAGACGGAACATGTTATTAAGTGTCCATTATCAAAGCGTCAGCGATATCTCTACGACGACTTCATGAGTCGGCGGACGTATGTTTTGGTCCCCAACTCATCTGTCACCCTGATTTGATCAGTAAATATGTAACTTTCAGAACTCGCGAAAATTTGAAAAGCGGTAACGTGCTCTCTGTTCTTAATATTGTTATGCAATTACGAAAGGTACGTATATCCTTGGATTTCACCCTTTTCATAATTTACTGAAATACTTCAAATTTGCAGTGCTGCAATCATCCTAATCTGTTCGAGCAACGATCTGTGCAATCGCCGATGTGTCTACACACTATGCGAGTTAATATGCCAGGGCTGATAGTAGATCTTGATGAGAAGGTGTTCGGTCGTGATCTTCCAGAATTTTTTGATTTGCGCAAGCGGTTCACAGGGGTCACCACTTCAACTGTGAGTATACAATTAGCTCTTCAATCATTTTATTATTACTTCCCTATTTTTTGCTGTTCAATTCCTTCTCATCTTTTTTCACCTCTCACAGCAGCTACGCCTTTAGGACAAAGCGTGCGAGCGATTCTCGATTTGTATGAATTCAGGTTGGCAAAGTACCTCTAGTCAAAGAATTGGCTGAATCCAACGATGCTCGTCCACCGATCGTGCCCGGATTTCGACTAAATAGACCCATTACAAGTGGAACGGTACGTATAATGACGTTCACCCTAAAGTCTGTTAGAATATTCGAGCTTTTGTTATCTTTTTGTTATTATTTTTATCTTTTTGTTTCCTATATGTGTGATTTCTTTTTCTTCAGAACATTCCCAGCGCTGCACATTCATCAGAGATAGCGTCGGTTGTCGACGTGAGTGCTGCTGAATTGCAACGTGCTGGATTTGCCCAAAATGAAATGGTGCTCGTCGTTCGTGATGGTGAAGATATTGAAAGTTTGCTGGGTAGCAATGCTGGTGAGTTTGCTTAACCGCTGCATATGTGCGCTCTCAAAATTGTGATCAACATTTTGTCAGGCGCCCCGATCCCTATGCGAGTAAGAGTAAATGATGGGCGTTTAGTGCTTGATACGGATGGCATGAAGCAGAATGGAGCTGGCGCCAAACTTTGTCAGGTACTTCTTTGAGATGCTGTTAACTCATCTCCGCTCCCTTCTTCGCAACATAACCCATTGGTCACCGCCGTTTTGCCTCTATTGCTGAATATTTTTCCATATTTTTTATTAGTGATCATCAACCGTTCAGTGTTTTTGTTATTGTTAATGAGCACCTTGCCTTCCAATAGTGTACGCGAAAGGCTTGAGAAAAATTTGCGCAACAAATTTTTCATGTGAAAGTGTGGCACGACATCATGTCACACAGTCAGCAGCATTCTGAATAAGTTCATTCCTTTTTTTCCTTCTGAGTAGTCACCGATTGATTGAGAGTATAGATTTGGAGCTTGAAGGGTTTCCTCTTTAAGGTTGTTACGAATGCAAATGGTGAGAAAACCTTGCGTGAAGTTTCCAATCGGCTGGCAGAACATACAACTGGAGGAAATGCTCCCGTTCCTGTATCTCAAGTGGCTAACCCAGCTCCTGCCGCAGTCGCCGCAATGCCAGGAGGAGCAGCATCGACGGCACTTCCAGCTTCGCCTATAAATGCTCTCAAGTCCGAACGAACACCATATGGGCAATATCTCAAAAACACTTCAACCCCCGTACATGTGAGTGTTCAACCTTTCACAGGCATTGTGATTAGAACGGTAACATAACTGTTGTTTATAGCATTTGCTCCGTTGTACAACTGCAGTATCCAAAGTAGCGCCTCTGACGGTTTCGACAGCTACTAGTGGTTTCCACTATACGATGCAGAATGGCGGTGTTCATGAATGTAGTGAGATGAGTGACTCCATTGTGGATCTGTCCACGTCCCTCAGCCCTCCTTTGAAAAGACGTCGTATCTCGTGCCCACTCAAGGACCTTGTGTCGGGAGAATTTGCAGATCTTGTACCGGTTCGTTCAAGCCGAGCTCCGTCATCTATTTTCAAAGCAGCTTTTTGTAAATTTAATTTCATGACTTTTCATACAACTGTTTCAAGGTGGAAGTGGTGCAGCGTATGGAAGAAAACAACCGGTTGAGATTACGACGTATTGTGGAACGCTTTGAATGTCAGCAGCGACCTTTCTATTCCAAACAGCTGCTTTCTTTGTTAAGGAATTCATTTGTTGTTCAGGTGACGCTGGTTTACTATCTTTCAGATTAAGTAATGATTTTGTAACGGGTGATCACTGCACCCTTTTCTGTTCCTGAAAAAGTTCATCTTAGGATGAGCAGGATGAGGATAACGAGCGGAGAGGATTGGGAACTGTGAAAAGTTCCGCTTCTTTTGATGTTCGGGAATCTCTCAACGAATGGGTTCGCGAAGTCATGGAACGGTGTGTCATGTTGATTATATTAATATGATTACTTGAGTTCGACTTAACTAACAATGAGCCGCGACATTTCATATAATTTGTTACGAAAACAGAAGAAGATTGGGGTACGATGGTGGAGCGGCGAGTGAACCCATGGAATTTTTAGTAATATCATTAGTAATATCACGCCTCATAAAATCGGAGCGCTAGCATAGCTTCTCTTTTTTTTCATTGCAAAGACTCTCAAGAGCGCATTCGGCTGCTAGATATGATTACTACTTTGCTCTGGAGTTGAAAGCGTTATTGTATGCCCTTCGCATTGCTTGTTTTAGATTCTGGATCTGGGTCAACCCAGCTGTGGCAGGTGCACCGGCGTTGCAAACGTCGTCATCAGGTCGTGGATACAGTGTCCGCGTCGCAGAGCAACGAATTGCCGAGAAATGTCGTGAACTGTTGTCTTTGGCTCATCCCTTGACACACACAGCACTTGTTGCTTCGCAGCTGCATTTCCCTGAGCTTCGCCTCATTGAATATGATTGCGGTTCGTTCCCATCAATTTTTTCTACGGAAGCGATAGTACTATTTCGGTATTAATTTTTCAGGTAAACTGCAAGCTTTGGCACGACTTCTTCGTCGCCTTTATGCTCTAAAACACCGCTGTCTGATCTTCACACAGATGTCACGAATGTTGGACGTCTTGCAAGCTTTCCTATCTTATCACGGGTATCAATATTTTAGACTAGATGGCACGACCGGTATTGAGCAGCGGCAGGTTCGGAAACAGTCTTTTGCTATTTATTTATTGACTTCCTCATTTGGTCGGAGTACTATTCTACCTCATTTGTTAAGGCGATGATGGAGCGGTTCAATGCTGATTCGAAGATATTTTGCTTTATTCTTTCTACTCGTTCTGGTGGAGTGGGTGTGAACTTGACGGGAGCAGATACAGTTATCTTCTACGACTCGGACTGGAATCCTACAATGGATGCTCAGGCACAGGATAGGTGTCACCGCGTAAGAAATTCTGTTTTGCTAATGCATTGATTAGTCTCTACTTACGCACTATAGGTTCTTCTTCACGTGTTTCCTAAAGTGCTGCATTTAGATTGGTCAAACTCGTAATGTGACAATTTTCCGTTTGATATCTGAAAGAACCATAGAGGAAAACATTCTCCGCAAGGCCAACCAGAAACGACGGCTGGGTGAAATGGCGATCGATGATGCTGGCTTTACACCAGAATTCTTCAAACAGTCTGACAACATACGGTTAGTTGTAGTTGACCTCACAATACTTGAATCGCGCAATTGTTCCAGTAAACTAACATTTCTGAGTGTCCTAATCAGTAATAACTCTGACAGCTCAAAATGGAGGATCAGTATATTACTATTGGCGTTTCAGTGACTTATTCGATGGTGATGTAGAAGTTGGCGATATTGACATTGGAGAGCGTCCCAAAAGTCAGAGAGATGTTGAGAAGGTAACGTCTTACTTCCTTCAGAGCCTTTTTAGTTTCGAGTTAATGCTTACCAATGCGAATTGCTACTTTTCAAGGCTATGGCCGTGTTGGAAGACGAGCAAGATGTGACTGCGGCAAAGTTGGTCCTCGCGGAAACCAAAGCCGACATTGCCGAATTTGATGAGACGCGAAATGTTGGTGCCTCTGAAAATTCGCTGGGCGGTTTCTTTAGTTGCCTTGACAGCGAAGATCCTCTTGATGAGAAATACATCGAGTTAATCAGTCAGGTTTGTTGTTGGAAGAAAAAAGCAGATTATTCTTGTGTAATCCTACCATTCCAGTTGAAACCGATAGAGCGGTATGCGGTGAACTTCCTTGAGGCAGAATACAAACCCGAGTTCGAAGAGGAAGTTAGAGAAGCGGAGGTGTGTCCCAAAGATGATTTATTCCAATTTCTCAATTCTTATTTCATCTACAATGACCTGGTTCAAGCTGCGACTTCCTTCTTTTGGGCCTTCTGGCAACTCAAATGAAATCTATGAGCCATATACATGTACACACGTGTTTAAAATCAGTGCGCGCGGATACATGTGCTTTTTTAATATAATGCTCCACATCCTCTTGGCAGCGATACATTATAATTCAGGTTCCAGTTTGCCGTTGAAGGGACGCTGTTGCAAATTTTGCAGTTTTCCATCCCATCTCGTATTTAGGGTTATGGTTGGGAGTGATTTAAATATTGGACAAACTCTTCCAAGACAGTGATGGAGTTTGGGCTAGTCGTTCGGAGTGGATGGGAACCGTCCACTTGCGCCGGACACGGCGCGTCCCTAAGCGAGTTTAACTGATGAAATTCGGGTTCAGTTCCCGTTCTCTGCAACAGAGATATGAGTTTGAAAGGCATTAAGAGGCTCCTAGAAGGGTTTGTCAAAGATGCCAGTAAGAAATCTACTCCTCAACACTTCCAAATCAACATTACTAAAGAAATCTGCATTTTTCAGCTTAACCTCATAAACATGTAGCCATTCAATTCGTAGTCTTGCAATTCACTTTCTCACATATCGGAAAATAGAAAATTGTGAAGTCCAACGCTGTTTGCCCATACGTCCATATTTTCCATGGAAGGAGCTATGGCCATTTAAGAGTTCGTTGAGAAACTCCCAAAGCTTTCTCCAGATTGAGAATTCAACCTCTCCGATGAAAGTTATGGTCGCATGAATATATGTTCAATTTTCTACTTGTTCCCCGGTAAATGAGCTGCTCCAATGTCAGTGCACACGTTGCCAGAGCAATCACATTTCATAGAACATCTGTGTGTAAAAGAGTTACGTGTGGCAACTAGGTTACCAACTTACGGGGGTCGCACTTCAAGATTAATTTAATTGTGGATTCCCCCTACATAAAAAATAAACTGAAGGAGCAAAGAATTGTAGAAATTGCATCTGAATGTCAATGTGTCTGTATTTAGGCGGTGATCGAGCAAAAGAGGGAAGACTGGGTGAGAGCTCACAATCAAGCTCTCAGCAATGGCGATGCGAACAACGGTGTCGACGAGAATTCCGTGCGATTAGATGACGATTTCTATGGGAATGGAATGCTGTTAGATGAGGTACGGTCACGACGTAGAGGCCGTGTCTCAGCCTCGGCTGGAACAACCGGTACACGCGCAGTGCCGTCTCGCCATTCTAGTCGTTTAGCAACACCGCAAGTAAAGCCTTCTTCTCCTCCTAGAAAAACTCTGTCAGGTCGCCGTGTTATTGCTCCAAACTCGCTTACTGCTTCACTTTCTTCTTCTCATAGCTTACGCTCTTCATCTGCGCCCACTGCAAGAAGGTCTGCTGCTCAAACTGCTGCTCGATCAGCTGTTCGCAAGGCTACGGCGAGGGTTTCTGCTCGACGAAATCGGTCGCTGAAAGAGGAATCTGATGAACCTAGCTCCCCTACAAGCTCATCACCAACGCCTGCCAATAACGAGATGAGGAAACGACGTGGAAGGCCATCCCGTAAGTCTTCGGCTTCAGAGGACGCAGTCGCACAAGAGCCGCCTTCTACACCTGTGGAGAATACTGCAAAACAAGAACAGCCACCTTCTCCTGAAACAGTTAAACAGGAAATTGTGGTAAAGACCAAAGCACCCCCTGTTGTTTCACGAAGCACTGCCACACTAACATCGGCGTCGTTCTGCGTTCGTCCAGCGACCATTGTGGGCTCAGTGCTTACTACGCCAGCACCGCCGTCACAGCCACATCATCCTACTACCTCTTCGTCGCCGTTTAAAACTCCTATCCCACCGCAACGCTTCCCTGTGCGCACGTTATCGCGGCACTCACAGCTTTCTCTTCCTCATTCCTCCTCTCTCTCTTCCATAACTACTGCTCGTGCTTCTTTCCAATCGTCTCCCATGCGACTTCCCGTGCGGGTACTGCAGTCTCCTCCATCGACTTCACGCCAGTCTAGTCATCCTGTAGGCGTCAGTGTTTCGCCTCTACAATCCTCACCACCGCTGCTTGTCCGACGAGCAAATACTATTACTCGTGTTTCTCTACCGGTGAGCACAACAGTGACAACACAACGAGCTCAGCAACGCTATGTGGTAGTGGGCCGCTCATCTAATAATGTGCCTGTGGTAATGCCGACAACAGTGCGTCATCCTGGTGCTGTGCCTGTACGGCGGGTTATAGTACAGGCAAGAGCTACGACGCAGGCTCAGCCGCCAGTGGTTCAACGGCCTGGACTGGGCGAGTATGAACGACCAAGATTGCAGTTTCGCAATCGGACGACCAGTCAAGACTCCACCACGGAGCATCGTTAACGGGAATGCTGATTTCTATGTGTATAGAAAATGCTTCTATATAATCGTTTCAGCATATTCTAGCGACTTAGCCCAGGATTCCGCGTTTTCTTTCCTTATTATGCGCGCGATCTCATATTCCGTTATGCACGGTTTTTCTTGTGCCTTGTTTGATGGTCACTTTTTTTGATATTCTTATCTTAGTTCCCACTCTCTGTTCCGTCCTTTTGGATTAGTGAAGTATATGAACCGATGGAGAGTTTTCTCCCCTTTTTCATATCAAATATTATAGACTTAGATCCATTGCTCGGTGCTAACTCCCGTCCCCCTCTTAGCGTGTTCATCTTGATTGAAGTTGTGTAAATTGCATTGTATTATTGGCACGGAGGATTTTAATTTGTTCTGTTTTCTTTGTTGTCTTATTCGTTATTTGAATGAGTGGCTCGTTTAATGATAAACGTATATTGATGCCGTTGTGTGTTGGGTGTATCGCTGGTGGCCGTCGACCCGTTGATTGTGCGTCGCGCATGTGCGGTTGCGGTCTGGTCCGTCGCTCAGCGATTCGCCGCCGCGGCCGACATGTAGACCGTGGTCGACGCGGCGACGCATCGCGATTCACTGAACCGCAATCGCCCATCGACATACGCGACGAGCTAAGCTAACTGTTCAAAATTTGGGCTGGAAGCGACTAAAGGACGAAGGAACATGTTCGGTAAATGAGGAAGGATTCTTAGGAAATGGCCACTATGCTTGGGGCATGATCGTAGTGAAGCAGCTTGGTGGTGATTAGGAAATATCACAGCAAAGTTATTTGGGAAGAGGTTGCGCCAGTGTCTAAAGTTGCTCATTTCTCAACTAAAGCGTAGTTTCATTTCGCAAGATGCAAGAGACGGAGGTAAAGTAATGGACTTTCTCCATAGTGCGACCTTGTGTCCTTGAAAAGTGCTCGCATTCTATTTTCTTTTAAAGTTATGTCGGTAAGCGGGAATCTATCTAGTTGGTCTATAATGGCTACTCTTGATCTGAGCAAGTATTTTTGTCTTCACATGACCAAGTTCAGTAGGATCGTGGAAAATTGGTGCGAATTGTCTCATGAAGCGTGCTTGTGAAAGCGTCCCACCTTGGGCTTGCCTCAGTTCTTAGGCAGCACTCGACGGTGCAAGGTCTTGTTATTTGAGGAAAACTGGGTCACCTCCGCCACAGCTTGGTGATTTGAGGCCCACTTCACTAAGGAATCGCTCCTTGTCATTCCGAAGATCCGTCATGTTCATGGTATATGGAAGTTCGGAGAGAGTCCAAATAAATCATCAGATGCCGAAATGTGCGCGAAAGTAAGGGACTGGCAGATGGTTCATACCTTTTATGAAGCATCTGCCAGTCCTATTAACTTTTATGGGTTGGAAAGCTAAATACTGAAAGCTCGGAGGTTTGTGGAAAACCTGCGACGGTAAAGAAGTGCTGTGTAGTCATAGTTTGAAGGGTGATTTTGTTAAGATCGAGTAAGATTTGTTGCGTGAGTTTCCGAAATTTTTGCCATTCTCTTTGAGGTGGTGGCTTCTCTCAATGGGAAGGTAGTGATCGGGGATACCAGCTCAAATTCAAGAAAACATTCTTTTGATTTACTAAAATTTCTTGGAAAGAAGACGTTTTTGTATGAGAAGACACAGCAGTTAGTTAAGTAAGATTTTTTAGGTGTTCGCATACAATCATGGATTCCTAGATGAAGTCATGCCGGTGAGCGATCTTTCAAAGTACATATACTAATATGCCAGAACTTGCTGAATTAATACTTGTTTCACTCTGAATCTATAGATGTGGACGCCTTTTCCCACGCCACCTCTGTCGGATACCGATAACGACATTTACTTCGACGATTGCCTGGATCTGCTTTATGATCGCGATTTTATGCCGGAAGAGAAGTTACCGTCGGAAATTTATGAGTTGCACAGTTCCCTGAACAAACCTGCTAGTCCAGTGAAACAACCTGGTACGCATACAGGTCATTCCATTGTCATTTTACTGTCCTTTTCTACCCTACTTTTTGTACGATTACATTTTTTCTTTTTCATTCTTTTTTTGAAGTGTTGTGTATGTATAAGGATCCCGTGAAATTCCATGTTCTAACTTAGATTCCAGGTAATGAATTTTTCGTGCTTTTAGCCCCTCCACCTGCTCCTCCTCCACATAACACTCAGCAGTCATCGTCAGATGCAGCAGTGATGAGCTTGTTGAATGCACTTCACAATCCGCCCAATTCTTACACTCCACCACCAGCTTCGTATAGCCCTACACCATACTCACCAGCAGAATTCGACCAGTACATGCAAGGCTATAGTGAGCTTAAAAGTGGTAATTATGACCATCATTAGTAAAGACTAGTTTCAAAGTGCATCATCGTTATGTTTTAGATGCTGTAGCTGATAACCGTGTATCAAAAAAGGAGCGGCGTGCGTTACCACGCCAACTGGAACAGAAGGGGCGAGAGCTCATGCGGCCTGTAACTCCACCTCCAGCCGTCCGGGAAGAGTACGATTATGAAGGTCCGGAATGGAACATCATCGAGGATCAGGCGTTGTTGACGGTGGGAAAATTGTACTCATATTTTTATATTTTTAAACCTGCTTATTTTATTTTGTTATAACTGTAGGCTATTCGAAATGAAGAGCTGATGTGCCACAGTTTTGAAAGAATGAAGACCTCCTTGCGGTACAATTGGGAATACATTTCTGGATTCGTTAACCGTGTCACGCGATTCTACAGGTAATCCGATTTCCGTGCTAAAAGTCGGCCCTTGCGATGAGGTTAACCATATGCAATCAATTAAATTCTCTTTTCTGGAAGAAACAGGTTTTTCGTGGTTGGAAATCGTAGGTAAGAAGGTAAGATATGGGTCCGGCTGGTGTTAGTATTTTTTGTGGAGCATCACAAGGCCTTTGTGAGTTAGTTTCAAAGGACTCTTGATTTCACGACATGATTTGACGTTAGTGTTCAAATGATGAATAGAATTTGGACCACCTCCTAATATTCCAGTGTGAGTCGAATACCTTGTCGTTTTGGCAGAGAAATCCGTGGTTTTGAAATTAAAATTTTTCAATGAGCTTACTTTTTTTCTAAGATCTCCTCGACAGTGCTCAATCCGGTATCAAATGGTTGTGAGACCACGTGAAAGTGGTCAGTTGATGGTTGTGGATCCATTGACAAAGAAACCTCGTAAGGTGCCGTTGACTTCAGCTGAGATTGGTTAGTAGTAGTTTTTTTGTGGATGCGTCAAGATTTACTAAAGTGATTCGACCCAAATTTTAGTTCACTTACGCAAAGGGCGTGTCTCGACCGATCTCCAGTACGCACATGATGCTGAAAGAATACGTGAATCGTCGATGATTGGTCGATTACGCTTGATCGATTCATTGGCAGAGAAACAGAATTCGTACAAGTGCGCAAGGCGACCAATCGGTAAGATTTTTATGCGTCCGCTGTGCCGCACTTTAAAATTGGTCATGGCTCCCCATTTCAGATCAGCGCTCTTTGGAACCGAGCGGACGTTTACCACCAGCTCAGGAAAGTCGGCTTGCTGCTATGAACATTCGCTTCCCGACTGGTCTTTCCCCGCAGGAAATCTTGTCAAATCTGGTGAGTATATAACGATAATCTGCCGTAGTTTGCGATCTCTATTTCTGACCGCAGCCATATTTGCAGTAATGATTGGTAACAAATTTTTCTTTGTGAAAATTTCAGGAAGAAAAGCGAATGGCCCAGGAAGCGGCCAAAAAGAAATTGGCCGAGCAGCAGGCCAACAATGAGCGTCCGGTGAGCTTGACTCTATTCCAGATCTGTAAATTCAGCTATAGTCTGACCTCAAGTAAGCTAACTTATAGAATTCACCTCCTACCGTGATCTCCGTATGCTTACGAACGCAGCCTAGCCTGCTGACCCGATATTGTGCAGTCTAGGATGCCAATTGTGATATCAGTTCCTCAGCTTGTGGTGAGTCATTTGGTGAAAAAATATGGGAAACATTCCAAATTCTTCGAAAAAATAACTTTTCCAAAAATGTGGAAATGTTGTATATCATGGATAGTTCGAGGTGCAAACTGGTTTTGCTATGATTAAGCTTTAAAGCTTTTCTTTTAGTTTTTTTTTATACTTTAATTTAATTTTCGTATTATTTTTCATAAACTTGACTTTTTATGTAAATAAACGTATATTTTATAAATCTTAAAAAAAGCAGCTGCAGGCTTTTTTTGGTAACAGTAGTGAAAATTCCTCGTCGCTGTTTCTATGTTTATTATTTAAATTTGCAGCTACCAAGTCCACCGGCTATTCAGCAGTCCATGGCGCAGGATCTTACTATGGTATGAACCAGCCTTCCACCTCTGTTTTATCTTCTGCAGTTTTTTTTACTACTGTCCATATTTTAAATGCATGCACACCATCAGCTGTGTTTTCAGAATGTCATGCCGCAATCGCATTCACCTGTTGGTGGAATGCGTCGCACTGCATCACATCCGTCAGCTGGGGTTGCGTTGGGCAGCAGTTTACAACATGCGCAGGGGTCAGGATCCAACACCCAACATAATTATGTGGTCGTCAGTCAGGACTCCCTCCCGCCTTCATCACGCATGCAAGTGAGCATTTTAGGCATTCTTCTTGAAAAAAAAATGTGGCCACACCCCCGTGTTTAGTGAATTACGCTCTGCGTGGAACTCATAGGTCTGAGTTCAGGTCTCAGCTAAGCCTGAGCCTGTTTGACCCGTATTTCATTCCTTTTTCCATCCTTCGCATTCTTTCGTGTATTCGAATATTTTTTGTTGAAGTTTGTCACCCGGACGGCAGATGGCATGGCAATCGGCCAAGGTGGTCAGCCTGTCTATCGTTCCATTTCGAACACTTCGCAAACAAAACGCACTCCACCAACAACGCCGTCGCTTAGTCGGGTTCGTTTGAGCTCGGCAATATTTGAATGTCAAGCTCGGCAATATTTGAATGTCAAGTGAAAAAGCGAAAGTGCAATATTTTAGGTACAGGGTAGTTACATGACGAACGTTCAGACGGTGTCAGGTAACAGTCAGCTGTTCCAACCGGGTGCAAACACAGTCGGTGGCGCACCAAGAGGAAGAGTTATGCAAAGGGTTGGTGGAAACAATTTTGTGTCGGAAATAAAAGCAAACAGAAAGTTCCGTTTCAAAGTATTTCATTTTATTGATAAAATGTGTAAATTATCTTCTTAATTCACCCCATGATTCTATCTTCATTTTGGCTGACAATAGCAATGATGAGTTCTCACTAGTTTTTTACTTGAAAATATTTTCCCTGTAAACTTTGAATTGATTTCTATCATAAATGCTAGTGTTGGGTGTTGCGAATGACCGGCAGAACATCCATGCGAAGATAAATCAATTATATCGCCTCTTGTGGCTGCGTCGTTGTCCTATGTAGAGTGCTGCGGCGTTCCGAGCGCCTGTTCGAGAGAGGTCGATAGCGCATTGCCAACATCGGTCCCGTGGTGTAGCGGTTAGCACTCAGGACTCTGAATCCTGCGACGGGAGTTCAAATCTCCCCGGGACCTGTGTTTTTGCATTTGTCAGTTGTGAACGGAATTTGTTGTCTTTATTGACAAATAGTCTAATACGATAAAGAATAGTTATCTAATGCCGGAAAAGTCTGATTACCATGCTTTTCAGCCCGCTGCTCCTCGGATGTTCGTCCAACAAGCCCCCCAGTCCGGTGATCGTTCATATGTCGTTCCTCAACAGCAAATTCGGATGGTTTCTACGCAACGCCTCCCTCCTCCGAAGAGAACCATCGGACAAAAAGCACCGGTTTGCTTTCTCACAGCCGTCTGTTATAATTAGACATGGTCCTAATTGGTTATACCATTCCAGATGACCGCTGTTATGGTGCCTTCACGAGCCGGGCAACCGCATCAACTACGTGCTGTTCCGTGAGTAGTAATGTTGACCCGTTGTTTTCTGTTATGAATTTTTTTCTTCAGGAGAGGATTCACCCAGGGAACGCGGATTATGAATGTGGTCATGGCGCCGAGTAGTAGTGTAGCCACATCTAGTTCGTCACAATCGCTTCCAATCCCATCAACAAGTCAGCCCGGTGGAGGAGCTATGACGGCTTCCGCCCCAACAGTTCGACATCCATCTCCTTTCTCTGAAGGTTATCGGTCTTACACAGCATTGGTCTTAATTAAGTTCATTTTTCTCAAAGGTTAAAAAAATTATGTCCTATTTCATTTTCCCTACTATAAACCTCCTTCTATAAAATACTACATCTGTCTGTTTGTGTGTGTATGTGTGTGTGTGTGCGTGTGTCACGTTTTCATAGCGCACGGACCAGCAGTCATCAGGAGTTAATTCTAGGATTTTCATCAGGATTTGTAGGTACAGGGCGCGAGACGGGAACATATTTGACGGCGGGCAGAAGGTGATGACAAGTGGTGATAAAATCCGTTGATGGAGCGCGTTAGAATGCAAGTACAAGACATTCATTAGCGCCGCGCGCTCGGCCGAATCATTTAAATCGCTTTTCCTTAAAGGAGAGGTTCAGTTCAGGGCAAGCCGCGCAGCGCCGGGGCCGCGTTTTTTCGAAAACGGTTTTTTGCATGTCATAGGAACTCATGCGTAGACTACAGAACCAATGTCCAATTTCGCTGAACGGTCCCGAGATCGCCAAAAATGGTGAGGAAATGGTCCAAGGATCAATCCCTCCTGCGGACAAAATTTTTGCAGCCTCGTTGGAGCTTCCAAATTTTCCCAAAATGGCTCCATCGCAAAAACTGGATATCATATCCGCTACCAAGGCTAACGGTAATTATCAAACTCATATTTTAAATGGAATATTGGTGGAAAAAAGTTGTAACGCCAGGAGGGCGCCAAGTGGTGCCGAAGTGGCCTAAATTGGAGCCATCTGAAGAAGTAAATGTCATATTCGTGATGAGAGGGCAGATTTGGGCTCAGCGTCTCCAGACGCGTACTGTAATAACACCTCATTTCAATTGGCCGCGGTTGGGCCTAAATGACCTTTTCCTGGTCAGCAGCATGAAGCGTTGTCCCTTAGAAGAGATGTACAGGGTGAACGCAAGCATGTGTGTGTGGGTTTGGGGCAGAGAATGATACTGTTAAGGGGTGATATGAACGAGCAGCTTGAGGAAGGGTGCGCGATGAGTAAGCTTTCATTTCAATCGCGGTGTCGTCATCAATATCGGAATCTTCTTAACCGCTAACTTCTTCAGTCTTCATAATATGGTGGGTGTTCGTGGGAGTGTGATGTGCTGTTGAGTGTTTCTATTGCAATATCATCGCCACAGATTAATTCAACCGCTCAACCTTCCCAGCATCCGAACCATGTTAGTTGTTTACGCTAATGGCTGACAGTAAGCAGTCCAAGTAGTTGTGTTAGTTATCCAAAGCTTATTCGGCCGCTAGAAAATGTTAGTTTCCGAAAATGATGGATGTTTGTGAGTATTGAAGAGCTACGGGAAATGACTGCTTTATCACCAGCGCTATAGAAACCTTTGTTAATCACATCAGTCAAAGCAATGAAAGCATGCATGCTGCCTAATACGAGAGCTCGGCTGTGCTCAGTTTCACTAACGCCTACTTTGATATGCGCGCGGTAGCGAGCGGAGCCAAACGTATATTTACATTTTTCCTTTTGCTGACACTTGGAGTTTTCAGAACTCGCTGGAGCGAGACGAATTCAGCGCTCATATCAAGTTCGGACACTGATTGGTGCTCCTTGTTTTGCTATCGTATATTTTTGAGCAAGGATAGGGAAATTTGGCAGGATACTATTGTTTACTGGAGCAACCAATTTGGAAAATTACGAATTGCCAGAGCTCATAGCTTTAAATAATAAAACGACTGGGTGGTCATATGCTGATGTTATGCAACGTACATATGCACGCATGTTAAGATGAAAATATATGAAAAAAAGTTCGGACATCTGACATGAAAAAGGACATCTGGGAGCCACAACGTTGTTGCGGCTGTCACATCCAGTTAAATAAATTGCGAATGATGTCACAGATTTGGTTCTATCGGACAGGTTCCATCATCTCTTGTCTCTGCTTCATTTGGTGAGGGCTTTCAAGAATTCTTGATCACCAACTTAACTTTTAAATTTTTATTGGCTGGCGTGATTAACAGTTACAAAATTTCACGATTAGTCTATCTCAACATTTTCGATTTCTTCCTCTGGAACTCTGAATTGAAGGACAACTAATGCTTCTTATGCTTTATATTTCATTTGTGTCTTATTCCTTCCAACCAAAAATTCGCTCAATTTATTTCAGCGACTGGCGTCACTGTCAAGAGACAACTGTTGGCGCAAAATCGACAGCTAGGTCCTGCTTCGCGAGGCGCATCTCCACAGACGGTTGCTCAGGTGGTAATCGCACCTCCCCAGCAAACCGCAGGCGAAGAGCCATCACCGTCTACACCAGTCCCAACTGCAGCTCCGACATCTGCTCCAGCTCCGTCTTCAGCTACGCCTTCTACTTCTGCTTCTGTCTCTGCCTCGATTTCCGGTTCTGCTCCCGCTCCATCGCAGTCATCACAGGGAGAAGATCTGCCTCCGACAGTTGCGAGGCAACAGACCTCATCTCCTCACAACTCGTGAAGAGACTTGTGTTGAAAATCTCAATTACGTGTACTGAGCTTTAATTCGTTGCATACAGAGTTTCTATAATGATCATGATGATAAATGATGACGATATCGTTTGTTGTTTTGTGGAAAATTGCCTAGCATTTGCCCTCCATGTATGAAAATTATTATTGTTGTTGTTGCCTGGACGTACATATACATGTTCTCAAGTGAATTCGGTGATTGTTTTTCTTTGTCATTTGTGCGTTCTTGTATAAATAAAATAGTTTTGCTCTGTGACACTACCACTATGTATATGTTGCATGGAAAAGTCCACAATAACCATGTTCTTTGTTTCGGTCATTCTGTTTTCCCTTTTTTACCTCATACTTTTCATCCTGTTTTTGTTTGCGTGACGTGATCTATGGCTAAATTCGGGTCGTAGTGGTCATGTTACTATCTGAGAAGAAATACGATGCGGTGCGAAAGTACCACGAGTATGCAACGCAACCGCTCACGACACTGCTATTTTCTCACGCTCGTTAATTTATGTGTTCAGTGGCTTAACTTACTAATTTATGCCAAAAGCTAATGGTATGTAAAAGAGTTGGCGAAATTGGTGGTGCGTCGCTGATGGTAGTTCCTCTGTAACCAGTTTTTTTTTCAGCAGATCTGTGTAACTACTTGAACCAGCTGCTTCTTCTACCGTCGGTTTGAATACTGTGTGTGGGTTGTAAAGTTTCAGCAAAAGTATTTCCGGTCACGTGCCGAGCTGGAAATGCTCAGCGAACCGGAATCTCGCATTTATTCGTCTCTGCGTTTTGACACGTTGGCAAAGGACTTTGATCCAAAGGATGCGGTGATTTATCTGGAAAGCTCTGGACTGCTTACTGCGGATCTTGCAGAGAAGATTGAGGCAAAGGTGTGTTGTTTTCTAGAGGATTACATATAATTCCTACGGCTATGGAATTTCGGTGGAATGCTTTCACTCGCTTTCAGCAGTTAACTTGATGTGAGCGAGGTGCGATCGCACGAGTTGACATTGAGTGCGTGTTTGCAATGTATAGCCGGCGCTGTAGGCGCGGCGCGCCATGGTCCAGCCTACGTTGAGCGAAGTCCAATGGTTTTTCTGGAGACAATTGGTTGTGTGATCTTCCACATGTTGTATGGGATGGGGTTAGGTTTATCAGGAGTTGGGAGAATGAGGAATATTAAAGCCACGCAAAGATTCTCCTGAAAGCGAAATGTGGGTGAGTCATAGCGTTAAGGGAAGGAACACGAGAAAGGAGGGACTGTGTGGAAATACCTGAGAGAGCAGAGATGTCGCACAGAGTGAGACGATGTGTGGGACATCTAAATATTCCTATTTAATTGTTTCACATTTTGACATTTACTTGTTTACCTTGTCTGCAGCTTTATTTATGCAGCATTCCTGCAGGCAACTCGATTAGAAAGGATGAGAGAATTCTTACGGATATACCGCAGACAGGCGACGGATTGTGAGCCGCTTATTTCATACTTTGAGTTCGCGGGCCAGGAACACATCGCAGATTTGTTGAGGACTGATTTGGAACACGTTCTAGATAGGTATTAACTGACGATTGTTAAGGTTCCGTTTCGTTCAATAATTTTCCTGCTTGTTGTTCTATTTTGCCTTCAGTTACGAAACTTCTACCGAAGTGACTCATTTTCCGGAACATCTTCGGCTACGAAAATTGTTCGCAGGAGGTGTTCCGAGAGTGTATCAGCATGTACGAAGAACACAGTTGCAGAATGATGTCGCCAAAGTATTGAGAGAACGAAGTGACCTCGGTTGAGAAGAAATTTTTTTTTTTTCCAAAAATGGAAATTGATGAAAGGATGTTGTGCTTCAATATCCAATTTTGGTTCTCTTTCGACACATTCTTTTTTTCTGCGCAGTGGTATTTCCTTTTACTTTGTTTCAATTTTGTGAAGCAAATAAGTGTGCAGGGAAACTATTAAATAGTAAGTACTAGCGGCGAGGGAGTGAGAAGCACTTGGTAACAGCGGTTATTTTATGGCCTTATAATTCCTCCTTTTCTTTGTGTTTTCTTATGTAATTTGGATCATAATTTCAAACACCTACTGCATTGCTAGTTTTCAGATTCGTTTATTGTTGTTCTCCATGGCATAGCTGGATGTGGTAAATCAACACTAGCGGCAGCCGTTTTGGCGGATGTTCCAGATTTGTTGGGAGGGTAGAGATTTCTTCACCAACAGTGCTTTCTTAATTTTGTTTTCCGTTTTCAGTTTTCTTTGTTGATTTTGGTGTTCCAGTCGTTTTGAGTCGGTGGTGTGGCTGCAGGACTCACGTTCCAAACGAGACCAGGCGCATAAGCTTTTCACGGATCTTCTTCTTATTTTTGTTTTCCCATTGTTTTTTTGGGGGGGGCTATGGTGAATGAGCCTTTTTTACGTCATAACTTTTTCAGGGGTCCCGGTTTTCGTTCCTTTTCCATCCGCGAATGTGCGTTTCGAGAGCATTTAATTTGATGGTGCGAGTAACTAAATTTGTCAAAAGGATGAAAAAATTCAGAGATGATGGTGAAAGAGCGTGAGACAGGCCAGGAAGGGATTTTGAATTGGGATCCAGGCGAATCGATAGGGCCTGGGATGATGCTCATAAATATGCGAACCAAACCTGCTCGTAAACCTGCCGAGAAGATTGTGAGCGATGAAATTGGTCCCAAGTCCGACCGTCGTGAGATCAGAATTCTTTGGCAAGGTTAGGTTGGTTGGGTCGAAGATTTATTTGATAAACCAGTTTTGCTCCGCCCGCTATCGCGCGCATCACACGGCAGGCTTTAGCGAAACTGGAGGGTCCATGGAATATCAGCATGTGGTACTCCATTAACCACCTCACTATTGAAATGTGTTAGATTTTCCCAGTTTCGCTGAAGTCCATCGAGAATACGCGTGATAACGTCTGGAGCTGAACTGGCATAATTATCTCACAACTGTAAACATCCAGCATTCTTCTTGAATTCAGATAATTTAGCGGTGAATAGGATTGCTGTCAGTCTCAAAATTAAAATGAAATATGCCTATTTACATAAGAAGAGCTAAGGCTTATCATTTATTTACATTCACCATTATTTAGAACCCCGAAAGGATTAGCGGTTTAATGAGTTTGGGCTTTCTTGATAGGAACGAAAGTTATCATTTGCTGAAGACTTGATTGAATTCATGCAATAGACTGCTATTAAGTAGGCTGGTCATACAATGATACAGTGTGCACGTACCACTACAAATAGAATTTGTAAGTAGGGACGCTCTAGTGTCAGCGCAAGCTACGTAACGGAATCGACGACTTTTGCGTTCTGACGCCCCTTATCAGCCCTTATCAGTTGTAACCACTTTCCATCACCTACCAACAATGTCCCCGTCCCACCCCACATGACACCTGCGAGTATGGACGCTCTGGTGTCAACGCAAGCTGCGTAACGGAATCGACGACTTTTGCGTTCTGACGCCCCTTATCAGCCCTTATCAGTTGTAACCACTTTCCATCACCTACCAACAATGTCCCCGTCCCACCCCACATGACACCTGCGAGTATGGACGCTGTAGTGTCAACGCAAGCTGCGTAACGGAATCGACGACTTTTGCGTTCTGACGCCCCTTATCAGCCCTTATCAGTTGTAACCACTTTCCATCACCTACCAACAATGTCCCCGTCCCACCCCACATGACACCTGCGAGTATGGACGCTCTAGTGTCAACGCAAGCTGCGTAACGGAATCGACGACTTTTGCGTTCTGACGCCCCTTATCAGCCCTTATCAGTTGTAACCACTTTCCATCACCTACCAACAATGTCCCCGTCCCACCCCACATGACACCTGCGAGTATGGACGCTGTAGTGTCAACGCAAGCTGCGTAACGGAATCGACGACTTTTGCGTTCTGACGCCCCTTATCAGCCCTTATCAGTTGTAACCACTTTCCATCACCTACCAACAATGTCCCCGTCCCACCCCACATGACACCTGCGAGTATGGACGCTCTAGTGTCAACGCAAGCTGCGTAACGGAATCGACGACTTTTGCGTTCTGACGCCCCTTATCAGCCCTTATCAGTTGTAACCACTTTCCATCACCTACCAACAATGTCCCCGTCCCACCCCACATGACACCTGCGAGTATGGACGCTCTAGTGTCAACGCAAGCTGCGTAACGGAATCGACGACTTTTGCGTTCTGACGCCCCTTATCAGCCCTTATCAGTTGTAACCACTTTCCATCACCTACCAACAATGTCCCCGTCCCACCCCACATGACACCTGCGAGTATGGACGCTGTAGTGTCAACGCAAGCTGCGTAACGGAATCGACGACTTTTGCGTTCTGACGCCCCTTATCAGCCCTTATCAGTTGCTATCGCTTCCATTCATGTACCACCAATGTCCCGGGACCACCCCACATAACACTTGTAAGTATAGACGCTCTAGTACCAATATGAACGACAAAACGAAATTGGCGATGCTCGCTTTCTAGCCCCTCTTATCAGCTATTATCAGTCGTTATCAGTTCCTATCACGTACCACTTGTGTCCCCATCCCACCCCCTATAACATATGTAAGAACCATGGCGCTATCGTTGCTGTGACCCGAGCTACGAATTTCGTGACAAACACACACACACAGACCTACACACACACACACAGACATACTTAGCGAATTATATATAGTAGGATGGCCAGAATGATGTTAAAATCGTAATCGGGGCCATCGGTTTCTCCTGCAGGAAGGCTTTTATCAAATATCACTATACCAATGTAGCATTCCCAACTAACTTTAACCATCCAGAGCTTCCTCGCCTTACATAGCCGTTTCGATCTTCACAATTGTGATCACTGGGAGCCTTCTTTTGGTGAGGAGAATGATTAGCTTTAAGAGTTATATTATCAGTGCATTTCTTTCAATCTACAGCGATGGCTGGCAAACCATGCGAAAAGAACAAACGAAATACTCATTTTTTGACTTTAACGGTAACATTTTACATTTAACGCGTTCAAATTTACAAACGTGTTTGCTTGTACTCCATTCGATTGCTAAAGGAAGTGCTAAGTGAACTTTATTATTATACGCGGATGCCGTTGATCTTCAATGCGCATACGAGGTGAGAAAATGGGTCATCCAGTTCACATTTTCATGCTCTTAGAAAAGATAAGTGAAACTGATGCACTAAAGCGCTCAGTAACAGGACCAAACGCTAAGGTTACTGAATGACAACAACGTAAGAACGAGTTAGATTCGAGAAGAACAACTGGAAAAACCTTACCCTGAACAAAAGATGCCACTGTGTGCGTGTGTGTAATTTGCAATTGCTGTTTCTCATCTTCAAAAGTGCTTCCTAGGGATGATAAGAGTTCGGATCCTCCAAGATTGGTCGATGTGTCTTCTGTGTATTTATGCAAACAGGTGATCTCTTACTTTTGTGAACTCGATAACTTAAAAATGCTCTGTCAAGATCCAAGAGGCTCTGATTGATAATCCGAATGTGCTCGTTATTCTGGATGACGTTGTACAGGAAGAGACGGTGAAATGGATCAATCAACTTGGCGTGAGTTTTTTCCACGTTGGGCATGGGGCTTTTGAGAAATAGTTGGCAGAAAGTAATTCCTCTTTGGCGGGCACTGTTTTTTCTGCGACTTTAGTTCAACTCTCTCACGGCATAGTTCCATTCATAGAACTAATTTTTTGGTTCAATGTTCAGGGGAGATATGAGCGGCTGTTTAGTTCCAAGGACCGTAGCCATCGCCAGTCACGTTTCTGACCGACTATGGCTACTTGTGATTTGGCTTGCGATTACTTTTGAAAGGTGAACACGGTGGCTGGAAAGTGGAGCGGTTATTATGCCATTGGACGTCACCGGTAGAACATACCCCTCAGCGCGTTGGGGAAACTAACCATTTTGATTATTTGGAGGTTTTTCTTTCTTAATTGTAGTAGGGACCACCTTCTCGCCTTTTCACCAATTACTCCATTGGCATCAAATCCAATTCGCCTTCTAGCCATCGTGTCTCGTGTTCACTGTCCTCGATAGAGTAACACGCAACAAGATTTCTTGCAGAGAACGTAAGGGTGCAGAAGAAACTACGGTATTTGTTTCTGATTGTTTTTAAAATGCTGTTCCAGCTTCGTGTACTGGCAACCAGTAGAAATGCAGAGCTGTTCGCCTGTGCTTTATGCTCTGTTGACATTGTCCACGTCGACGGCATCACTTCTGCAGAAGCGACAGAGTTTTTCTCCATTGATGCGACACCATTGCAAGGAAAGAAGGAAGAAGTAGGTGAAAGTAGATTACTTTTCTATGACATACACTACTTTAATACCTTTCTGTAGATCCAGTCAGCCATTAGCGCTGCATTCGCAGTCTCCAGTGGAAATGTTGCCTTGCTGAATATGCTCAAAAAAGCAGCTTCAGGTCGAGCGGATCGGTGAGATGACAGTTAGTCTGCAATTAATGTGACGCGCGGGTGGTAGCAAAGTGGCTAATACTAGCGCTGTATCTTCAAGACTTTTCGCTTTTCTGTCACTCAATTCTTCCACTTGTGTGGGTCTGTCTTACACTAGAAACACTGGCATGAATTTCGGATTGTCTTCCCTCAACCCATCGCTGCGTAGACTTGCTAATTTAGTGTCCCTATCGGATCCTGAAGGGGATAGGCGTCATCCGAAATTGTTGGGATGTTGACTGCATGGAGGGGAGAGGGGCGGTTTCTCATGCCAAACACCGTGCTTGAAGTGCTCTTCGGAGTCACTGTAACAGTCTAACTCATTAAATCGATTAGCTGAGCGTGTCAATATATATACTCTTTCATTCAGTGAAGGAAAGGTGGTCAAGAGATCTTATACAAAGGGGTACGAGAGTTGAATTTGCCAATTATACAGCAGAAAGTCGAATTGAGATTATCCTCGATCCTTTTGGATGTGGAATACATCCGAACTCCCTAATTCGAGTTGTGAAGGTATTTATTTTTGAACACTCACAAAAACCATACAATTACATGCAAAGCAGGCCTGCTTGGGTAAATCAGTGGATTTATAATTTAAAGCGAGTTTGGTTCCAACCAGCTAATCGACCTCAGCAGGTTTGAGACCTGGATTGCTTTGGTTTCCAATTTGGGGAGGGGGGTTAGTTTGGGATTTTTCTATTAGCCATTGCGCCATCCCCGCTCTGAATAGTTTTGTGTTAGTTTGTAAATGATTGTCGCTTATTTTATCATGCACAATTCAGTTTGGCTACATTCTCCCGCCACTTAGAAGAACGCGGCTTGTCGTGGTTGACTCAGAAAAGCTCATATGAGTACGTTTCGATGCACATGTCATTGACGACATCAGTAGAGCGTTTGTCATCAGACGAGCGAGATACTCTTGCGTGTGCCGCGATCTTGCCGTCGGAGGACGACATTCCGCTTCAGGTGAGGCTCTATTATTCGGGCAATAAAGCTATAATTATTGCTCAATTAAAGTGGAAAATTAATGCTCTCAGAACATTCAAACAAACTGTATGAATCTTTATTACAATATTATCCGCCCTTCTCAGTTGCTCTTTTGTTTATAGTACGAAACATGCAGATGTGAAGAAATATAATAATAGGATATGGACCCCACCGATTCATTACCGCTTGATCCATTCACGCTTCCGTTTTCCCTTCTCTTAGTCTCACCTTATTCTGGCACATTTATATTGAAATAGATAGTGTAGATTTACATTTTCCTGTTTTTGACATGTTCATGTTTATATTTTATTATTCCATGTTGTTTGGAGTATTAATCCATGTCCTCCTTGTCAGGTGTGGGCGTTATTCGTGCCAGTTGATGTCGTTGACACTGATGAGGCCGAGTTCCTAATGTTTTTGTCCGATCGACTCAGTAGAATATGTAGCAATGGCGGCTGGTTATTGCATAATCCGACGAAGGGCAACTTTTCGAATAAGCAGAATGGTGGAGATTTATCTACGAGAGGCTCTTGATTCGCAGACAGTTAAGGTGAGTCGACGCGAAAGCTTACGGACTGCATCATGCAGTCAATTTTCATTCTGAATCGTAATCCGCTTGTCGCGCATTGACCCTTTAGAGTAGTTGTAAGAATCTGAATGAGTCTGCTACCTTCCATCCGGCTTCGGAATAAAGGCTCTGTTGTCGTAGGTGGATTTGGTTCGGATTTGCTC